ACACACACACACACACACACACAGAGAGAGAGAGACACACACATAAATCTTAAAACTGCGCAGACATGTTCATGAATTGTATTTAAAACAATCTAGAAGATAATAATATTTCAACAGAGAGATCTATGTGTTTTGCTGTTTTTTTAGTGTGTTTATTGCTTTGTTTTGTTTTGTTGTTGCTGTTGTTGGTGTTGTTGGTTTTTTGTTGTTTTTTTGTACTGTTCTGTTTTGTTTTGTTAACGAACTAGCAACTTTGTTTGTGTTGAGACTTCTTCCCCTGTAACATTAGATGCTGGTCAACAAGCAGAATCTGTGCTGGACACGAGGATTCGCGATCATTACACTGGGTCTAATTTTGTTTGCATAATAATTTGTTCTACCTTTCACTTCCTTTTTTTGTGGAGTCGGGAAAAAGAGGCTGCAGTGTCAGTTTGGTCACAGCGTTCAAACACGGGAACTAACAAAGCAAGCAAAGCCAAGACCATTATGTAAAATATATTGAAGGTACACCGCCAACTTATAATGAACCCCAATAATTGTGTTACCAGGTCAGATGTTCTATTACGATGCTGATACAGAATTTTAATTTTTGTTTTGTTTTGTTTTGTTGTTTTTGGTGGTGGTGGGTTTGGTTTTATTTTTGTTTTGGATTTTTTGGGGGGAGGGTCTTTGTTTTTCTGTGTTTTGTTTTGTTTTGTTTGTTTGTTTGTTTGTTTGTTTGTTTGTTTGTTGTTGTTTTTTGGGGGGGTCATCACAACTGTGTTTAACCGAAGATGGTGCAAAAGAGCATGAGTTGGTTTACAACGTAGTAGATTGTGTTTGAAGATTACAAGTACCTAGTCAACGTTCAGCCAATGAAAGCTTTAAGAATACTAGTACATTATGGTAACATATTATGGTGCTTGTCGTGGACAAGCTGTTCCGGTTATCTTAGCCCACAAGATAAAAATAAAACGATTTCATTTCTCTGTCATTTTTGCACTTCTTGTTTTTAACATTTAGAAAGTGAATTTCTAGTAAAACTTCCTGGAGCATATGCAACCGATACAACAGATTGAGAAACAGCAAAAAAACTAGTGTTTCAAAACCTTGGACTCAGATGATCTGAACAGGTGGCCAGCAATATGGGTCCCCTCCCCCCCCCCCCTCCGACCCTCCATGAACACAGTAAAATTGTCAACATTTGGAGACTTCTAGTTATAATGTCGTATAACACCTACTGGGTCAAGCGAATCAACCCTGAAAATTTCTAAAATAGGCAATGTTCGAGAATGCTCGAATCAGGGATGTCCATACCATAATCCAGCTTGATACCAAATGAGCTAGCGATGTGTCCCAAGTGGAAAAGAGACTGAAGTTCCGTAGCAGCAAAGAATAGTATACAGCAACTGAATCAGCCAACTCAAATAAAAAGAGACGTTGGAATGAACAAATTTTAAACTTTGAGGCAAATTTTCTGGAATATAAAATGATGTTTAACAACTCAGTGACCGTATGGAAGCTTGTTCTAGTATGCTTTCATTTCGACTTTGCCGAGTGAAATGCTACAGGAACTTGATCTTGGGGCATATTGCCTCCGTATCTCTGTTAAGATGCCAAAATACCTGTAGACGTCGTGTCCTTTTGCGCGTGAAGCTGAGGGCATACCCGCAATACACAACACACTTATTTATTCAAAATGGAAATTATGGTTTGAGTTACATGTCTACTAGAAGAAGAAGAAGAAGAAGAAGAAGAAGAAGAAGAAGAAGAAGAAGAAGAAGAAGAAGAAGAAGAAGAAGAAGAAGAAGAAGAAGAAGAAGAAGAAGAAGATAAAGCTGACTAAGAAGAGAGAGAGAGAGAGAGAGAGAGAGAGAGAGAGAGAGAGAGAGACATATGAAGACCAAAAACCGAGGTACAAGCCATAAGAGGAAGCGAAGAAAAAGAAGACTTCGATTCCGAAAAAAAGAAGAAGAAAAAGAGATTATTTCT